CCAGCTACCTAATCGTAGCCACACAGATAAAATAGTCTTTTTGGTGCTTTGGGACATCCTCCTGCTGGGCAGGTGAGAGTAAATCACAGCAGTGGGCATGATTTGTAAACCCTAAGCATTGCAAGGCGGGCTTTTTAGGAGCCTGATTTTCCACTTTGTCTTAAATAGAGAGCTGCTTCTGACTAAGACGGTGGTGGTGCTCTCTTCTTGTGCAACATAGACAAAATATTTCAAAGAATAATTTTATCTATTGTAACTTTTTATGTTAAACACTCTCTACGTTTTTGGAAAGGGTACATTTACAAAACCCAAGATATATATTTGGAAGTAAAGGATGAGAAATCTTCCTGTGCCATTTAATAAGAACACATTGCAGTTTCCATTCCTTATTCTATATATTGTTTTCCACATATGGTCCTTGTTTCCATTAGGTGGGAACATAAAACTGTTAGCTACAGAATATTGAATGATATTACTTAAACTAAGGGCTTTCTCAGTTTTTTGTTTGTGCTTTTTAGAAGTCATGTTGTATGGAATAAACAGAAGATGAATGGCTGCGTTCTTACTGCCTTTGTAATGTGCTCTTGCTTCCACTCTCAGTGCTGGTGTTCACTTAGCAAATATTTATCTTCCATTATAGAGGACTTTGGAGCAGAAAATGTAGTGCTCATGAGTTTAAATTATAAGTACCTTCATAATCATAGTCAAGTAGAATAGTTAAATGGGTGTACACAGGAAACAGGAGATCAGACTTGCTTAGACTTGAGCTGAGTGATGCAATATTTAAATGAAGATATTATAAATCAGGTTTAGCATTACTTCTATCTTTGTATTCAATGAAGTGAACTTGCTAGTTCTTCTGCATAAACTAGTGACAAAGGCATCTATACAGCTTTTATAAAATAATTGCACATTGCTAATTTACACATTGGCGGAGCAGTGTTAGCTAATGAGTTTTCTATCAAAGCGTGTTTTTATATCTCTAAATGCATTGCAGATTGGGAGAGTGCAGTGCCCTTTTACGCAATCATAACAGTGAGGGAATATAAATGTGGCTTTGTTTTGTTGACAAAATGTGAAAATCTAATTGTAATATACAAACTCAAATTTTGAAACAACAGCAAGGCATCCGAGACCAGGATGTTTCCTTAAACCAGAACAATTTTGTTCAGTGTTTTTTTTCATCTTTACAGAAACTGACTTTTGCAGTCTCGATATATTTTGCACTGTTCTTGCACATTTTCCTTTTCACTCGTGTAAGCACGCCATTGCACGTGCCCTGAGCAGACCGTCTCCCCGTGGGTCAGGGTTGGAGCCAGTCCCTCGTCTCTGAGCTCTCTCTTGAGCGCCCTGCGCTGTCACTGGGCGAGGGTGACCCCGGAGGTGTTCTGGGGGTCCTCAAGGAGCGACTGGACCGGTTTACCCCACAGATGAAGTTGTGTAAACTCCAGTAAACTCTAGTAATTGTTGATTTCCACTTTATGACTCAGTAACTGGTCTAAGCCAAAACAGTATTTCTGACTGCTTCAGAAAGTGCTTGAAGCCTGTGTTACTGCTGTTGCAGAGGGAATTACGAGTGTCTGTTCACTGGCTGCAGTGGAGAAATACAGCTTGACCAAGCTGTGAGTACAGATACCTTTGTAATGTCGATGCAGTAGTACTTAAATTCAAATCAGTGTCAAGTCTTGTCCAGTTTCTTTTGTATTTAGCAAACAGTGCATACGAGCTGATTCGTATACAACCTATGTTCATTGTAGATAGAACACAGAATAGGAATTTAACTGAACATTTATGCAGTTTGGCTGTTTCTGTGTTGTTTAGAATAACATAGAATTAGTTGTTAAAATTTGGAACCATAAGTAGCTGTGGATTTTCTTAACCCAGTATAATCACTAGCTTCAGTGTGGGGGGTGTGTGTGTGTTTTTTGTTTGTTTGTTTTGTTTTGTTTTTTTTTTAGTATGGTGTAACTAATCTCTACAGAATGTGAATACGCCCCTCCCAGCTAGACCTCTCTGCCCTTCCAAGCCTCCCCCACCAAATCTTTGATTTGTGTGAAACCTTTAATAGAGTAAAAGAGCCTCAAGAGAAGGTCTGCTCTGTGAAGTTTGGAGAGGGCTTTAATGAAAAGTTTCATTGTTATTTCATATTTACTTACCAAATCCTGCCAGAGTAAATTCTTGCCAAACTAGTTTTATGTATTTCTTGTCTGGTCTTGCTAACAAACTGTTTTGTATCAGGACCTTGTCTGACAGGACAGTTCAGGCTATGGCACAACAAGTAGGTGATGCAGGAAAAACGGAGTCTATCTAAAACTTCTTATGCAATGTTGAGAAACTTCTAAAGGACCTAATTAGCAAAAACGATGCAGCTTATATATCAAAGCTATTTTAATGTAGATTGTACATACTGAAATAGCACAATAGTGCTTTAGAAGTGGGCGTTCCTATGATTGATTCTGTAATCATGTGTGTTTTCTTGCGTTTGCCTTGGAGATGGGAAATACTAGTGGTGGGCAGGAAAAAAACAAGGATACAGGAGTTATCATTTCAGTTTGGGGGCCGTTTGTGTTGCTGGATGTAATCAAGTCACTGAGCTAGTATTGCCATTATTTGTTTTTAATGTTTCCGTTCTACAGCAAGAAGATTGACTGATGCAAACAAAACTGGTGAAGTGTGTCACGTAGGAGGGATCAGATTCTGTTAAAGCCCAAACTAGTTATTCCATTTGTGATTTTGCAGTGAAGCCTGGCTATGGTTCAATTCTGACTTGGCTATGAGATGGAGTAATTAACAGAGGAAACCTGAATCAAATCCTTTAGGAGTGCAAGATGCTTCCTAGCTCGTCAGTTAGGTTGTGTCTTCAAAGCCCATGTCTTCCCAACTGTATTTCAGTCTCTGATGTAGACACGAGAGACTAAGGAGATTTTATTGTAATGGGCTGGAGGATGAGGAAGGACCCTCTTTCCTTTTGGTTTGAGAACAGAGTCTAGAAGGGCACCTCTTCAGCAGACTTCTCTTTAGAACTTGTTTGTTAAGGAACTTTGAAGGATTTCTGGTTTACACAGGAGGCTTTTTCCAGCCCTGTCTATAAGTGTTAGTCGAGTATTCAAACTTAACAAGAAGTTTATCCTAGTATTTGCATTATGTACCTTTTTACAGAGTAGATTTCTGTATTATGTAGCTATGTGCTCACCTCTGTATGCATGACGATGTGAATAACGTGGTACTATTTTTAATTATTCCTGAATTTTGACTTTGAAAAAAATGGATGCTGAATTATCTCCTATAATGTGCTACAACAGTAAATGCAGTTTGAAGCAGAGCCATATACTAGAAAAATCAGTTGCTTACGTAATAAATACTTGCTTAGAAGAAATGTAAGGTAATGATTTTTAATACTTAGAGAAATGGGAGGAAAAAATGTGTAATTTAATTTCTTAAATGACTAGCCTAATGACTGTAAAATGTAATTCTGAAATCTGATTGTCTGGTGATGATGATTTACAGCAGTATTTAAGGTGGATGTACTTATACAAACAATGAAGTAAGTTTCATGGTTATCAGATTTCTCCAAAATCTTTGACCTATGCATATATATCACATGCAAATAAACAGAGTTCTAGCATATTAAACCAAAAATGAATATTCCTTGATGTTCTTTCATGCACCATGCTGTCCAAGATTTCATGCAGCATATCCTCTCAAGATTTAAAAACACGTATGGATTTAGAGGAATTCTGATGGTCCCATTTCTTGTCCTGTTCCATCCTTTGAGAAATCAAATTATTTTCAGATTCTTTAAGGGTGGAGGATTTTTTTATTGGTGGGGTTTTTTTGGGGTTTGTTTTTGCATTTGTTTGGGTGGTTTGGGTTTGGTTTGTTTTTGAGGGGAGCTCTTTTTTTTTTTTTTTTTTTTTTAATTTCAAAATACTGATACCTGGAAAGACTTGGGTGCTAAGCGCTATTTTTAGGAAGTCAGGCAGTTTGCAAGATGGTGCAAGTTCAAAGGTCCTCAAATTAGTCACTTTCTGCAGTCGTGCCCACTCGGTGAAAAGCAAAGAAGCTCCCTTACTGCTAGACACTGAACAACAGCCCGGGGCGTTGGCACTGCTGTGGGGGAATATTTGAGAAGCAAGAAAAGATTATGTATCATGTTCAGGTTGTGTGTTTATTGTACAACTTTCCCCTGTTAGAAAACAAACCTTTTAAGAATAGCACTTTCAGTACTAAACAGCACTCGGGTCCTGTAGCAACACATAGACAACACTTTGTGGATGCAACCTTATTCTATCAGTTACAGTTCCTTTTGTATCAAAAGTAATAATGAAAACTATAAAGCCAGTCTTCCCAGTTACTGGTAGACACATGTATACACACAAAGCCACACACACATAAGTATATGCATATATACATGCAAATGTATATGCATATATACATGCATATGTATATGCATATATACACACATATATGTGTCAATCTGTGTGTGTGTGTATGTAACTTTTATTTAAAATGTGGAAAATCTTCTTTCTATAAGATTTAGATATCCCATTTGCCAACTCCACCAAAGCACAGGTAGAAAGCCCTTTGATATCATTTAAATATTGGTTTGTACCCTTTATAGCAGTCCTGTAAAGAAACCACCCCACTCTGCAGCTGTCCTGTAATGTTCTGTGCCTGTGAGATGCTTTATTTGAGGACAATGTATTTTCCTTTTATATCGTGTGTATATTCAGTAACACTGGGAATGCTGTTCCCCTACGTGTCAGCGACAGGACTGTGACTCGCGCGGAGCTGATAAAAGTGGGAAGAATATGTATCTAATGCAGGGCGATTTAAAAAAAGAACTTTGGCTTTACAACTCAATTTACATTTATTTACAGGATGATGACCTAAATGGATGTCTTAATGTTGAGCATTTGTAGGGCTGCAATGTTAACTATATGGTGGAATAACCTTTTCCTGTTGATACATGGTATCTGATATTATTTTCTTCTCCTTTTATGCAGGATCCAAACTACTGGATACAAGTACATCGACTGGAGCACGGGGATGGTGGGATCTTAGATCTCGATGACATTCTTTGTGATGTAGCCGATGACAAAGACCGTGTAAGTACACATAGCTACGAAAGTGGCTCAGTGTGCACTGTGCGTCAGCATATCGGCGTTTTGGTTTTCCTGCATGTGTCCAAAAGTGGGAGTCAATACAAAGGTTTTGGAGATTTTTTTATCTAGTTGGCTTGGCAGTTGCGAGACGTCTATTCCTGTTTTGTTTTTCAAAAAGTACAGGAAATCTTTTATTGAAAAAAGAAGTAAGAAAAGGAGGCTGCAAGAATAAAAACCTCATACATTTGAAAAATAATGTAAAAAAAAGAATCTCTAAGTTAAGATTTTAGCTTCATGTTACCACTTGAATACGTGAAAAATACATGCTGTTTTTAAACTGTGTAGGGTTGATGGATTGTTTTTCAGAAATCTTTTTGGGAGGAATTGCTGGTTACACAGAACTTGAGAAAATAATTATACACTGCTGGGTCTTGAGTCCTTTTACTCTCTGCTTTAAGTAGAGATTTAGATTGCAGTCGGCTAAGAGGTTTTTGGTTATTGGCTGTTTGTTTGAGGTGGTAGATACTTGCGTCTTTGAATTACATGTTCGAAAACGGTAAGGTAAGAAACACTGGCAAACTGTAAAGTCATATGTAAATACACCACTTTTCTCTGCAAAGCCATGTGTGTTTGCTGAAGCTCTTGGGAATGTCTGAGCCTGATACAGACTTTGGTCTGGATATGTGTTTCAGGACCCTGCTCCCTTCACAGACAGGATCCTTAATTGCCTTTGTTGGAAGCAACAGGTATTCTGAAGGCTCCTTGAAAACAGGCCAAATGGTGACTCTTAGGCTAATTTTTCAGTAATAAATACTTTGCTTGCAGTTATTTCTTGTGACAAAATTTAATTGACATGGTTATTTCAACTGGGACTTTATAAAGAAAATGATGTGAGGAGTCTTGGGACATGGAGACTCCTCGCCGTCTGAAATGTGGAGATTACTCAAGCTGGATAGAGTAACAGTGCTGAGTTTTCAGGAATTTCTTCTGTAAAAATAGTGCCCAGCTAAGATTTCATGAAAAGCTAATTAAAACCTCTAGTTAGTTATCTCATATTGAAGTGCTCAGCTGCATGATTAGTTTAGCTTTTACTTACAGTCCTCAAGGAGGCTGGTGCAAGTTGTCACTATATATGTGTGTGTGTATATATATAGATATTGTAACTTATTTGAATCACGCACTTCTTAGCTCCTCACGTGCTCCTCCCTTCAGAAAGAGAAGTTTGAATTCTGGTGACTTCAAGACCTCATTCTTTGGCTGTTACCTTGCCTTGCCGCCTTCAAGTAGGATGATTCCTCACAGTGAAACTCTGTGGGTGTTTTTATGTGCATGACTAATAGATGAAAAACTCTGACTGCAACTGAAACAAGCAAAGTCATTATTACAATATTGTTTTTGTGTATAGATGGACAAGATACCTAGTAATTAGTAATATTTATTTATGTGTTTGCCAAGCTCGTATCCTCTGATTCTGTGAATCTGGCCTGTCTCTACTGATAGCCCTTATCGGTTAAATTTCCTTTTTTTTAAAGGACCTTGTGGCATTGATTAGGAAGGTGCAATATAAACATATACTGTGCTCTGCTGCTTTATATCCTTGAATTAATCATTCTCACTTGACCTTTATGTTTGATTCTTTTCAAGTATTTCAGTCATTAGTCATTGTTTTTCAGTTTCCAGTCCTGTATTTTACAGCTGACCTTCCTGGTTCCCTTTCGTTTTGGATTGTTAGCTTTGCATTTGACACTTCTGCCATAGCAAGGGCTTCAACTAGTTCTGTGTTAGCAGAACCCGATATAGGTCTCATTAATGCAAGGTTCTGAATATATCTCCAGTTAGTGATATTTTATATGTGTACACTTAAGCATATCTTGTTAAAAAGCATTTAAAAAGATGTCTAAACAGTTAATTATTACTGAGGTCTGTAGGATTAATTATGCTCAAAATTAAACATTAGCCTATAAATAAATTTTTTTTTAATTGGGACAAAAATACCTAGGATATTGCAAAACTGAACACTTAATAGCTTTGTGTTCATTTTCACAAGTAAGTTCTGTACGTTCTTGAAGACAAGTTAGTTGTGCTGTTCGCTACCTATCTTCTGTACTTTTGAAAATCAGTTTACTCATCATGGTTCCTTAGATGTAAGGATCAGTCCCACAGTGATAAATGTAATTTTTGTCTTTTCTATGTTGCTTTTTTTGCCATAATTGTTTGTACAGTATCATATAAACACAATACAGAATGTGAAGCAGCTAAGGACCAGCTTATCCTCTTGTTGATTTTATTGCTTTGTTTAGTCAACTATATTAGTAAAATAAAACTCTTAAGTAATGTAAAGAACATAGTTACTCCTATTCCACTGTCTCCATGGAGAAAATGTGCTATTCTATAACAAATACAAAGACCCTTAGAGACAGCAGCTATTCTGAGTGGAATAAGTGAAGTATCTTTGTGATGGTGTCCTTCACATTAAAATGCAGCATGGTAGGGTGACTTTATTTAGCTTCTTCTATCCCTATATTTTGGTATTCTCTTGTCACTTAATAAAACAGAATGGGTGATTAAGGTTTAGTTGCTCTCTGGAGTAATTTCTGATGTTCAATCTTATTCCCCCTTAAAAAGAAGGAGAAAATCATCAAACAAACTACCCAGAAAAATTGATTTTGCTGAGCTGTTTGTTCCTTTCTGAAACAGCTTTTTTAAGCCCTTTAAGATAGTTCATTGAGGAAGTACATAATGCATTCTAACTTAGCTGGCATGCAACTGACACCCACATTACACAATATCACTACACATGAAGTTACTGATGAAAGCTTGGTTAATGCAGTTAATGGTAGTAACAATATTAAACAAAAGATTAATAAATGCTCATTTGGATGATCTTTTTCTTTGAAAAATTTTTGTTGATTGATTGAAGTGCAAATTTTGTCCAGGTTTTATTATGGAAGGATAATTTTCAATGGGAAAATGTCAGTGTTTTTTTGTATTTATCTGTCTATCTCTCTGTATACATGAATACAAATGGGTTGTCTTGTTTTTTCTTGTTTTTTGAAAAATATTTAGCTGTAAGAAACAAGAATCCATTTTCAACTAGCAGCAACCATTCCAGTCCTGATTATGTTTGGTACTGTTTGAGGAAACTCATTGACAAGCTTAGGCAGATGAATAAGTAATATCTCTTTTCCAGAAATAAAGGAGAAATAACTGTCTTTAACTTGCTTTTAGTCAACTGCATAACCTATTTTCATTATTTTAAAAATACAGATTTCTTGTGCATTTAATGATTAGAACAATATTTTAAAGATAGGTTAATGAACTGTTTTGTTTGGATTTCTGTTACTTATAAAAGTAGCCCTTCATGTGAATGCTCTCAAAAAACATATGTCAACTTGACAAGTTTCCAGCTTGATGATAACATACTCAATGACCTCAGTTCAGTTCTTAGTAGGCAGACTTCTCAACAGTGAAAAAAACCCCAATGAACTGAAAAAAAAAACCCACTCAGCCCCAACCATCCTTAACCATGTTTCTCCTGGCAGGCTGAGGCACACAGACACTTCAGTGATCCTCATACTTTGGGTGTCATAGGAAAGTACTCACTCAGGGTTCTCCTAGTTCCTTGGTTATCCATGGAAAAAAATATTCAGGAAGTTGCTGTGTAATCTCCTGCTTTAAAAGTGCTTGTGTGAATATAACTTGCTTCCAGTTGATTATCACTGAAATGGTCACTTGTATTTTGCACTATTTTAAAAAATTATTTCAGGTGCAATTATATGTATTTTTTTCCTTGCATAGTAATGCTCAGGCTGTGGCTCGATGAAAAGCTTTGGTGATCACAATGTCCATGTTTTGTGTAGCTACATTTCTGAAAAATTAGAAGCTTTCCTTCCCAAGAGAACAACAAGGATCTGCCACCAACAGTCACTGGTTTTGGTGAGCAGCTGAGCAGATAGAGCTAGTTTGAAACAATACAGGGTATGTACCTAATAGCGATTATTCATAAATTCATTTCATAATGGAATTGTAGAACAGTTTGAGTTGGAAGGGAACTTATAGATCATCTGTTTCCAACCCCCCTGCCATGGGCAGGGACCCCTTCCACTAGAGCAGGCTGCTCCAAGCCCTGTCCAACCTGGCCTTGAACACTTTCGGGGAGGGGGCAGCCACAGCTTCTCTGGGCAACCTGTGCCAGTGCCTTGTCACCCTCAGAGTAAAGAGTTTCTTCCATATATCTAATCTAAATCTACCCTCTTTTAGGTCTTTTGCCCAAATGTGTTAGATTTTTGGTAGCTTGGGAATTAGCAACCTGTAAATGTAAAAGGATTGGCATCTTACAATTTCCTTCATCAGTATCCTAGTAAATTCAGTACTCTAGTTCTCAAAAATAACTGCTGTATTTTGGTGTATGCTTAGAGTCACAGCCTGTATTTTGTTCTCTAAACTAAGAAATGGGCTTTCTTTGCTTGACTTACCATTTTCACATATTCAGTCAGCTCTTTGCCCTGCGTAATTCATGCTTATGCCTACTGAATGCAGAGGTAAAAACTGGAGGAGCATGGTTTGGTATTGTGTGGAGTGAAGTTTCATGCTTACCACAGTGTTTGTGTGCGTGGTGTTAGTATCCGGCCCAGGTCACTGTAAGATCAAGGTGATGTTGGTGCTTACTGCTGGTTGGACATGCTTTGAATCTCCTAGAAAGATACACAAGAAGTTGCTTTTTCAGTGAAATACTGTTGGTGAGAATGGAATGGAGATTCATTTTACAGGTCTGTGCTGAAATGGAGTTTGTAAACATTCATGATTTAGAGTTAACTGTGTTAAGTAACCAAATTGCTGCTGAAATTCAGTGAGATCGATTGTACTTCATTTGCATCCATTTTTAGAGACCTACAGAGACTCTGTTAATAGTGTTATGAATTTAATGCCTATTTGCTTCTAGCGTGATGGGAGAGTCTTTGAGCAGCTTCTTCTCAGAATATGAAGGCATATTAGGAGCTTTT